AGTGTGCGCGGAACTGAGCCCACCCTTTAATCCTGAGGTTCATCTGCCGGGGCCAAGCGAGCTTGGATGGTGGCAGCGAGGTCCTCAGGACGTAGATGGATTGCCTTACAGGGCTAACGAGCTCCATCTGCCCGGGGAGTGGCCCCGATCAGGAATCAAACCCGGGCCTCAGCGGTGACAGCGCTGCGTCCTTAACCTCTAGACCACCTGGGACTCCCAAACAGTACAGCACAGGCAGAATAGCAGAGGAAACAATTCTGTAAAGCAGTTTCTTTTACTCTAATTAAATTAGTTGATTTCATATATCCAAAGTAGTAAAATAACTAGTCTTTGTCTGTCACTTATGTGCTCTTTGTTTACTACCCAAAAGGGAGTGTATTAAGGGGGGACTGTACCAGTTCATTTCTTTGTAGATTACCTTACCCTTTAAGACATTGTGGGTTTTTCCTCAATATGAAAATGTTGTATTTTAAAGAATTTTCATCTGATAACAATTGGTTTTATTTACCTACAGTCTTTGCTGAGCATTCGCGGCTCCCTGTTCTCCCCAAGGCGCAACAGCAGAACAAGTCTTTTCAGCTTCAGAGGTCGAGCAAAGGATGTTGGATCAGAAAATGACTTTGCTGATGATGAGCACAGCACTTTTGAAGACAATGAGAGCAGAAGAGACTCTCTCTTTGTTCCTCATAGACATGGTGAACGGCGCAACAGTAACATTAGTCAGGCCAGTAGGTCATCCCGAACAGTACCTGCACTTCCAGCAAATGGGAAGATGCACAGCACTGTGGATTGCAATGGAGTAGTGTCTTTAGTCGGTGGGCCGCCAGCTCTGACCTCGCCTACTGGACAGCTCCTGCCAGAGGTGATGATTGATAAAGCAGCCTCTGCTAGCAATGTAAGGAAGTCTGCAATAGCTCAGGCATGATTTCTCTCACTGTAGGATCAGCAACTGTTTCTACAAAGTTTAGTCACTTGGCAAGGATTACCTTTCTGGCCAAGCTGTGAATGCTCCTTTCATATATTCCAGTTATAAGCTAAAGGAAAAACTGAAATTGTCTGCCACTCATTGACTAAATATGTGAAAATACATGCTAATTTACTGGGAATTAGCAGAATCGCATAGTAAACTTAGTCTGTGTAGTCTTACACCCATTGATTCATTATTCTTAGACTTAACTGGAAGATTCTGTACTTGAAAGGATATCCAAATGGAAAAAAATGAATTATATTTACTTAATATTTAGGATATTTAATGTACAATAAATTTATTAGATATAATATTATATAATATATCAATTATGTATAAGTTAGATCTTTTATATATATATGTTTTAATTATATTTATGTAATGGAATATATTAAATGGGTATTAATTTCCCACTGACCATACATGAAACTTTTTATGTAACCTTGATACAACAACCTACATGGGTTGCGATAGTGTCCCTGTAACATAGTTAATTTTTCTGTGGGTTTTTGGGTTTTTGTGGTGTTTTTTTGGGGTTGTTTTTTTGGTGGTTTTTTTTTTTTTTGGTCAACATTACTAAATATTTTTTTTATTTTATTTGAAAAAAATTGATAATTTATTCTAAATTAAGAGGTATCTTAAAACGCACTTACTCTTTGTTCTTTTACTGCCAGCTGTGTGGGCTGTGCATTTTCATGTTTAGAAAAAGACTTCACTGCCTAATTAGAATAATATTTAGGGCAGAGCTCATGGACAAGCATTGTGAAAAAATTTAATAGTTTAGAAATTGTTTATAGTCTAAAATCTGTTTTAATGTCCAGCCCTATTTCAGCAAAATACTTAAAAGCATATTCTTTAAGCACAAGAACAATCCTGTTGCAGGATTTGACTATTTGTTTTATACAAAATTTAGGTGTACATTAGTGTATTGCAAAGCCACAGCATGAATGGACAGCATGGAATGGTGTGTGACAGCAGTATTTTAAACCAATGTACTTCTACAAAAATTTAAGTGCTGTTCTTATTAAATAAACCATCAATTAACTATTGTGTTGGTGTTTTATTTTCAGGGCACTACTACAGAAACTGACTTAAGAAAGAGACGGTCCAGTTCTTACCACGTTCCTATGGACTACCTGACAGATCCTAGTGCAAGGCAAAGGGCCATGAGTATAGCCAGCATGCTTACAAACACAATGGAAGGTATGTAACACATATCTTTTTGTATGACAGTGCCTTAAAGTGCTATTAAATGTGTGAAACGTTATGTAGTAGTGATGTTTTAAGGCAGCCATTTCAGCCTAGAGGGTACAGACAAGAGAAGATTTCTATATAGACGTAGGTTTTTTTAGTATGGAACTGCTAAATTTGGAAAAGCGGTCAAGCTTGCAGTGTACTGATAGGTTTGAGGTGGAAGCAGCAAGCTTCTAATTTAAATGCAAGTGAAAAGAATTGTTCAATGTAGTCTTTCTTTAGTAAAGTTATGTTTTGGTGTGAACGCTCTTTTTAGGTTAGTGAAAATGCTGTATGCTTCTTGCAGTAGAACAATCCCCTTCTACCAATTCCATAGACATGTTATTTCACAAAGGAAGGATCACATTCTTCTTCCTGTAAGGCTAAATGCAATGAACCTGAATCATGGAATTAAGCAACTATTTGTAAGAAAGGGCAAAACATTACTTTGAGGCTTGAATGTCTGTGTTCAAAATAGCAGATTGGAAGGTAATAATGAGCAGTTGTGCACATGAGGACCATAATGCTGTCTAAATACTTGTCTGACTTCAGGCTTGTTCTAAGTGTTTATCTTTCATGAGGAAACTTTAAAATATTTTGTTTGAAGAGAAATTGAAGATCATCTAGTTCCAGCCCCCCTGCAGGAATACCTTTTACTGGATCAGGTTGCTCAAAGCCCCATCCAACCTGGGGGGAGGGGGCATCCACAACTTCTCTGGGCAACCTGTGCCAGTGCCTCACCACTCTCACAGTAAAGAATTTTTTCTGAATATCTAATCTAAATCTACCTTCTTTCTGTTCAAAACTCTTAACCCCTTGTCCTATCACTCCATTCCATGAGTCCCAAGTAGGCCCCCTTAAGTACTGGAAGGCTGCACTAAAATGTCGCCTGGGACCCTTCTCTAGGATAAACAACCCCAGCTCTCTCAGCCTGTCCTCATAGGAGAGTTGCTCCAGGTCCTGATCATCTTTGTGGCCTCCTCTGAACCAGCTCTAAGAGGTCCACATCTTTTTACCCTGGGAACCCTGGAGCTGAACACAGCAATCCAGGTGGGATCTCACCAGAGTGGAGTAGAGGGGGAGAATCACCTTCCTCAGCCTGCTGGTCAGACTTTTTTTGATGCTGCCCATGAGGAGATTGGCTTTCTGAGCTAAGACCAACATTGTTGGGTCATGTTCAGTTTTTCGTCCACCAATACCCCTAAGTCTTTTTCCTCTGGGCTGCTCTCAATCCCCTCATCACCCAGCCTGTGTGACAGATTTCTGAAACAAATTTCTCTTTTGCATCCTATGTAGCGTTGGCTTGTGAATAGTTCTTTTATCTACTGAATCTTTAGTATACTTTTTTTTCCATTTTTTAAAAATTACAAAAAAAAGTTGTAGTTTCTGTTGACTGACTGCAGTCTTGATTTCAAAATATCAACACAATTGATCAACAGTACCTTGGAAAACAGCATTTAGGCTTCAAGGAAATACCCAGGTGATGCTGGAATAGAGAAACGTGTTTAAAATGTTTTTTTCATTTTTCTCTCTAGAACTGGAAGAATCCAGACAGAAATGCCCACCGTGCTGGTATAAATTTGCTAACACTTGCTTGATTTGGGACTGCTGTACTCCCTGGCTGAAAGTCAAACATATTGTAAATTTGATTGTGATGGACCCATTTGTTGATCTGGCCATTACCATCTGCATCGTCCTAAACACCCTGTTCATGGCCATGGAGCACTATCCGATGACAGAACAGTTTAGTGGTGTGCTTTCCGTAGGAAACCTTGTAAGTCTTTCATCCTGTGCCTGTGTATGTGAAATACATTTTTATTTAATTCTTCTGTGACCTATGCACAGAAGAAAATGTTGACTGGATATTTGTAGGCTTGTGATGGTTGAATTTAAATTTACATTTAAGCTGTTGACATTCGTGGATTTCACCACTCTTGCTTTACAGAGCAAAAGACAGTAAGATTTACTGATTTTTAAAACCTTCAGCTTCTGTCACTGAAGGTGGTTAAAGGAATTTTTATTTTATTGGATGGATAGTTACGAATCATAAGAAGTTTTAGTTCCTTTCCCACACTTATCCTGCTCTTCACTAGCACCTTGTGAGGTTCTGGGTGTTCAGGGAGTTGTAGAGGAGAAACACCCAGTAAGCATGGCAGCTTTACTGCAACTCTGCAAGAACTGGACAAATGGAATGACAGTGCCTTCCACAGGTCATCTGAAGAAGAACAGTTCTCAACTTTTAGTTTGATTTTTTTTCTTAATGAAATAATTGTCCTTATCATAAACTTTATCACTAGAAGCAAAAAGATGGCCTATGGGCAAAGATGACATCTAAGGGGAATTAAAATCAGAAAAGATTCTCTGTGTTGGCATACATGCATGTTAGCAGGCTAGGTAAACCCCACATTTTCCCATGTACCTCTTTTTTCTTTTTGGAAACCAAACATTGTGATGTATATGTGAGCTTCAAATCTGAATTTTATTCCTAACCCCAATGTATGGCCACATAAAGAAGCTATCCAGATTTATCATGAATTGCTTGCTGAAAATATAACTTACCAAATGTTGATACCAATAGTTTTACTTGTTACTTTTTAAATATTTTCCTATTAAACTGGAGTAAGAAACTGTATTTTCCTTGCAGGTGTTTACTGGAATTTTTACGGCAGAAATGTTTCTCAAGATAATTGCCATGGATCCTTATTATTATTTCCAAGAGGGCTGGAATATTTTTGATGGTTTTATTGTTAGTCTTAGTTTAATGGAACTTGGCCTTGCCAATGTGGAAGGATTATCTGTCCTTCGATCATTCCGATTGGTAAGTATACTAAATAAAATATGTTTCTATGGGGAGTTTTTTTTGTATTTTTGCATATATACTTTGTAGATTTTTCATTTGTACCTTATATATTTGGCTAAGATAGAAGATCTTTTTAGAATTTACCAAATGCTTCCATACCCGCTGGATGGCATGTATCTATGATGTCGTTTGTTTTACATATCACCTTAGTACCATCTATTTCTCCTTTAAGACATTGTCAACATCAGTTCTGTTCCTGCAGTAAGTGTGCTTTAAGGGTTAAGTTTTTTAAATAGAAGTCTCTTAGAGTCTTCTCCCTAGATGAGGGAACAAAAAAATGCAAGAGCCACAGGCTCTCACTACCTATGCCTGAAGATTGGTAAATCAATTCATAAATAATGGGTTAATTAATAAAAGTTCATCAACAGAGTTTTAACTTATAGACTTCCATTACCAATTGACTTGCGTGGTCAGTTTTAAAAGAGAGTAGTGTTAAGATTTTTCTTTGTGTAGGGGTCTTTCAGCACTGCCTACCTTCTTGCCATCCTCTGCAAGGTCCATCTGCTGTCTAAAAGCTTTTCTGTTCAGAAGTCACTGCAATATTTCTGTCTATTATTAGATATTCTCTTTCATTAACAGGAGCTTTAAAAACCTTGGTCTTGCTGCAGACTAGGTTAGCATGCACGTAGATGGCCAAATCCTCTTCTGAAAAGACCTACGCAGTAAGAGACATGAAGCTAGAGTTCCTAGTCATCAAGCTCAACTTTTGCCTTAAATAAAGCAAAAAAGATATTTAACTTTAAATAAAAGTTAAATAAATCCTCTTTTAAAAAGGAGGGGGTTTAAATACATATGTTTTCTTGTTCTGTGTGTAGCATTATACTGCACCTTGCCTAAAATCTGATATCTGTCTGAATTGACTTCTCTTGCAGTAGTAGAATTCTGGTTTTAAATCTGCATGTATGTATTTTATTTATATCTCATCTCGTGAAATAATATTTAGTTTTAGATTCATTTTAGTATTCTCCTCTTGTCTGAACACTTGCTGTAACTTTCCAGTAATTTCATTTTTGTCTGGTTCAAGTTGTACTTTAATATAATACTTTCTTTTTTTTTTTCTCAATATTGTAGGACAAACTTTGTAAGACACTGAACATTTATTTTAAATGACAGAAAATATATTGTTTAAGATATTTGTGAGCAACTTGTACGCCTGACATTAACAATTCTAACTTGTTTCTCTTTCTAGGAAAACCATTTCTTCCATCTCACTGCCAGTTAAGATGGAAGTGATTTGGAAGTGTCTATACACTTATGATCCTGTTAAACTGATCACATTTCATATATGCTCATTTATTTTAGTAAAATTCTCTTAGAGTTAACTAAAGGTGTAAGGCTGTTTTGTCCACCTTGTCTAACAAGTACAGCTTTTTTATAAATATCTAAAATCACCAAAAGAGGCAAAGTCTGAATTGGAGTGATAATTGTGATAATTGCAATGTAATTGAAATGAGCATGGAAGCCATTGTTTTTGATTTGTGATCATTTTGAATCAGGACTTAAGACCTGATGTGTTGTCTTGTACAAAGAACTGGAAACAGAAATTTTGTAACTAAAGTCTCTAAAGGTTACGTAAGACATGCTTTAAACACAGGGTAACTGCAATATGAAATGTATAGCAGTATAAGTTCATTACAATTAGTAGCATGAGTAACTGTATACCATTCTTGTGTTTTGCAGCTTCGAGTTTTCAAGTTGGCAAAATCTTGGCCAACTCTAAATATGCTGATTAAGATTATTGGCAACTCAGTGGGGGCTCTGGGGAATCTGACCCTGGTGCTGGCCATCATCGTGTTCATTTTCGCTGTGGTCGGGATGCAACTCTTTGGGAAAAGCTACAAGGAATGTGTCTGCAAGATCTCCAGTGACTGTGAACTTCCACGCTGGCACATGCATGACTTTTTCCACTCTTTCCTGATTGTATTCCGAGTGCTGTGTGGAGAATGGATAGAAACGATGTGGGACTGCATGGAGGTTGCAGGCCAAACCATGTGCCTTACAGTCTTCATGATGGTCATGGTGATTGGAAACCTGGTGGTATGTAATCAGTAGAGATTTTTTGAACTCTTAGAACATACTTCCAATTTTTTATCATTTAGAGAAGAAGACCTGAGGAGGACTTCAGGAGATCATGTAGTTCATTTGCCTTTTCTCTAAACCAGGTTCAAATAGACCTTGATCATTTATTAAAAATATTTGTCTGCATTTTCTTTTGAATCTCAGTAAGTTTATAACCTCTTTAGCAAGATCAGTGCTGAATTATGCTTAGAGTTAAAAATGCACTTTACATGCCTTTTAAAAAAGGGTCTAACTTAAGCTACCTTTTACAGCCAATTAAACTAACTGGTCACAATAGTGGAAACTGTTAGTCTTCGTGACAACATTTATAATATTGAAGTCTTATTGTTTCCACTTTCAGTCTTTTCTCTCTGAAACAAAACAAACCTAGCTCTTCAATTTTTTCTCATAGGTGATGATTTGTAAGCTATTTGTCCCCTTTGCTACTGGCCTCTGAATTCCTCCTAAACAACGTTTTGAACAGAGACCTAAGTATTAATAATATGAAATAGTTATACTTCCATTTCTTACACCCAACATTCCTTGTAGTACCTCCCCAAATGGCATAAAATTTCTGTACCAGCATTGCTTCCCCCTTCCACCTTCTGTATATATACACTTTTCATTTTTTCTAAACAATAATTTCCTGTACCACTATTATTTCAGAATTAAATGTCACATTGATTTTCAATTATTTCACTGATTTACCATGGTTATACTTAATTGTAGTTCTTGTTGTGTGCTAGTATCCCCTTCTCTCTTTGGTGTAATCCACAAATTTTATAAATATCCTTATCCACAAGATAAATATCAACTCTTACCAGAGTAATATGAGAGTCCTGTGATATACCTTCTAAAATATTCTGCAAGTTTGAACAGGAAGAATTGACAGATACAGTTTAACTGATTTTTTTATCAGTTTTGCACAGTCTATCATAATTTCATGCAATCCTAATTTCTCTTGTATGTCTGTAAAATGTCATGCAAGTAATTCTGAAATAGTTTCCTGAAACTGAGGTGTATCCCATGGACCCTTTATCAGTTAGCTGATTTTCCTGCTCAAAACCAAAATAGACTCATACATTCTTGCCAAATATAAGTTTATTGTATTCTGAATTGGAGACACTGAAACTATGGTCTGTTGAACAGTAGAGGACTGGTGTCTGGCTGCATTGCCCTGGCCTATTTATTGCATAAATGTTATGTTGTATCTCACCTCCTTATCTTATTCTCCATTTTGAGGAGCAGATCTGCACTACCAGTGTGAAGGAGAAGTCAAGGAACAGCTCTGATTTTCACTTATATTAGTGAAGTTAAACCAGCTTACAATGTTTTTGGCCAGAAAATAAAATGTGGGGGACAAGGGCTAGAGACTGGAAAGAATAGCAGGACAGTGGGTTGAAATAAAGCACTAGCTGTGAAATAAAATTTATGTCGTACTGAAAAAGTCATAATGGAATTGCTTTTATGACTTAAGAGATACAATATGTTTTCTCCTTACTGTTTTTTAGGTACTCAACCTCTTTTTGGCCTTGCTGCTGAGCTCATTTAGTTCAGACAACCTTGCTGCTACAGATGATGATAATGAAATGAACAATCTCCAGATTGCTGTGGCAAGGATCCAGAAAGGCATAGATTATGTGAAGAGAAAAGTGCGTGAATTCATCCAAAAAGCCTTTGTTAGAAAACAGAAAGTTTTAGATGAAATCAAACCTCTTGAAGACCTAAACAATAAAAAAGACAGCTGTATTTCCAACCATACAATAGTAGACATAGGTAAAAACCTTGCCTATCTTAAAGAAGGGAATGGAACTACCAGTGGCATAGGCAGCAGCGTGGAAAAATATGTTGTTGATGAAAGTGATTACATGTCATTCATAAACAACCCAAGTCTCACCGTGACAGTGCCAATTGCTGTTGGGGAATCAGATTTTGAAAATTTAAATACAGAGGAGTTCAGCAGTGAGTCAGACCTGGAAGAAAGCAAAGAGGTAAGACTATTTCTAGATTTAAAATACTATGATGTTTTTCTTTTCTTTCAAAGGTTACTAGCGTTGAATTGAAATCTCTCTTTAATTCCTTTGTAACAGCATATACAAACTTGTAATGTTATTTAAAATGAATTGATGTAAGGTTGCAAGTTTTGAGTGAGATGGCAGTACAATCTTGCATTTACAGTAATAATCAAGATGCATGAGACAATACTTTAGAAAATGTTTATTTAGTTAAATCTTTAACAAGCAAAGGAATCAATTAATAGCCCTGGATACCAGAAGTCGTACAAAGTATGTGTGGCTGGTGCAAGTTTCTCCATGCCTATTTCATCAGTGAAGTTTATTTACTACTTTATCTGCTTTCTGGAGTGCCTCCTGTCAACTCAGCAGTTCATTCTGATGTTTTTAACCTTTCTGATATGGTTGGAATACATCTAAACACATCATAGATAGGTACATTTGAATATTGGACCAGCATCGAAGCAATTTCATATAAATCACTAATAATGCTTTTGATAGTAATGGAACCACTGAAGAAGTGAAATAATGGCCTTCTGGTAAAAAAAACTTTATATCTCAGTATAAGATGCTTTCATGTGACTACCCCTTGTTATTTTCCAAGCTTTAAGAGATTTGAATCTTCTGAATCTCCTTACTGTGACTGTAATAAAATGTACCTCTTTCTGGCACAATGTGATGCCAAGTGAATAAATCCAAGCTAACACTCAAAGAGTTACAGTGGATGCCAAAGCATTATTACAGAGTTTAACCCAGTACTCTGTCAGGCACAACTGAAAGTGATGGAGGCACACCATTTCAATGGAGTAAGTTTATGTTAAGTTTATGATTAGTACTGATGTGAGATCATTTGGCATTAGTATGGGTATTTTTAAGCAGTATTGCATGCTGTGGGGTAGTTGACAACTAACATAAAGGTTTTCATAAGTGATTTTCTCATGCTTGAATCTCAGGGTATAAATATGGGTAAGATTCAGTAATTTTCACCCTGAGATCTGTTTTTTTACAAACTGTATTACATGTTTAGTCATATTTTCTTTTTTCTTATCACAAATGTCTTTATTGTTCTTTTAAAAATATTTCTTTTTCAGGTTGATTATATTAATAATTATCTTACTCTTCAAGACCATTACTTGGGTGTAGAACAAGTCAGAGGTTACTGTAGTTTAACCTCTAATTTTTCTGTGTAATGAAGAGGAGGTTTCACTGAATGTAGAATTTTGGTTGATTCTATTCTATCTTTGTACATAAGATAAGAAAAAGAATCTTCTCAGGCACCTTTAAGCCACATAGATCTCTAGAGCATTGCTCTGTCCTTCCACTGTCGTATTGTCCCATTGTTAACTGTTTCAAAACTTACTGCTACCAAAGGAGGAGCAAATTCTATTGCTGATCTGGTGAAATTGTACCCATCAGTGAAATCATCCATAATAAATGCATGTGACACTGATGGCACAGTAATTTTTCTGTCTTTTTGTGAATCACGTACTTTCTTAGTGTAGACCTGGTCCTTCTGGGTTTGTTCATCTTTTCAAGGACATCTATCCCTTTCAACCTCTTCCCTGCTTAGCAACTAGTGATAGCCAGAGGATGTCCTGCAAGTTTGGGAATAAAGTGTTTTCAGTTCAAGTTCAGTACTAGGAACCATAATACTTTGGATTTTTTCATCACAAAATATTTATTGCTGTCTTGGTGGAATAAGAAATACTTATATATTGATCTGTATTTGTCTGTAAGTTTAGTATAGTATTTTATCAGTTTCAAGGATGCTGTCAACCTAAATCTATCACTTTTTATAAAACATTTTAAATGCCTAAATTGGAAAGTGTGAAGAAGATACTGTTATTCTGCAGATACATCATAAATGATGTTTCAGATTATATTGCCATATGAATGACATTAAAAGAAAATCTGACAAAAACACAGTGTGAGATGTTGACTGCGAAATTCCAGTACATTTAGAAGTATGCACACAAGAAAACTCTTCTCTCTTTGCTGCTTATTTTGTGCTCCCACCCATATCAGATTAATTTTGATGATGTTACTGATTATGATATCACCACTACTCGTGGTACTAGTAAGCCATTTTAATTGTCATATACTTTTTCTATGCCTGTTCTCTTTTAAAAGTTATGAAGTTACATACATACTGAAGTTTGTAGATTGTAGATTATAGCTCTGATAATTTTTAATTGGCAACTTCTCTGCAAAAGTTTATTTGGCAGTGTAATTGGATTCTACCAATTTAAATACTGTATGTCATTAAAATGACTGAAAAGTAATTTTAAATATTTTCATTAGTGATATTAATAAGTTGCTGAAGTTTTTAAAAATGTAATCACAAGAATGTTCTGTACGAGTGGAGTAGTCTCCACTTCTTTTGCTAAAACTACAATTGTTGTGCAGAAAATAATCTGTGATTCACTGAACAGTAATAGCAAGAAGGAACTTACCTAATGATCAAGGCATCTGTTTTAAGAATGAAATCTTTTCCTGCTACAAAATCTATTTATACTTTTTTTTAACAGTCTGTAGTAAGTGGCTAAATTATCTTGAAATAGGGACCAAAATTAGATGAATTTACCAATGATCTCCCATTTGCTTCTTTAAGTCTTTACTGCACAAGAACATTATGTCAGTAGAAGAGATGGAGGATACACCTCATACAACCCTCGTGCTGCTGGGTAGCAGGGCTGAGTATGACCACAGTGACAGTGGTGCATCTGTTACTGCATCGTGTAACAGGGTGGGATGACTCCTGACTGTTTTCAATAGCCCAGTCATCCCTTTCTTCCAATGGAAGGACCCTAATTGGGTTATTCTACAGGGTGGCAAAAAGTACTGAATTCCTCTAGGGAAAATTTTAAAGAGGTTTATCCCACATTTGGCATGAGTTCCTGTCATTAGGCTTCCACCATAAAAGGAAGGCTTCCTACTCCATATACCATCTTTAGAAGAAAACAATGTCCTCATTGCATTCTTGGAGGAACTTAATCCTATTGTTCTTCAGGAACTGCAAACTGATCAGGTGATGAGACAAAGAAATGCATATTAAGTGAGGAATGAGCTAGTGCTAGGAGGTTTTGACTGGTCAAGCTGAAACTTGTCTGAGCATATTCAGGACCAAAATTTCTTACTCTTGCAGAAGCTGAGGGTGGAAAATTGAAGAGAAATGTTTACAAATTTCAGGAACTTTAAATAGGGACAGAGCAGTAAGCAAAGATTTTGAGCATATTTCTTATTGAAATGTCTAGATTTCAAGTAGATTTGAGTCACAAAAGCACATTTTAAAAATTTTAATCTTAGTTCCTACTCTTCAGTAGATACTCTTATCCACTGTGTTTTTTGATGTAGAGAAGAGTGATGGATTATTAGTTAGAGGACCAATAGTATTGTCATGAAAATGATCCATAGCAAAAGAAGGCATTTTTTAAATTAAAAAAAAAAAAGTGGCTACAAATGGCTTTTTATTTAAGGCTTCTTCTTTTTTCCATGCCATAATGTGCCTTACATTTCTGCCCTCTCATGTTTTTCCATTTATATGATACTGCTGTTGCCAAGTTGATCTGCCAGAGACTGCACAGGACAGCCAGAGGCTGACACAGAGTGTGTGCTTCTCCTTGCTTTTATGTATACACAGAATACATATATTCACCCTGGTATAGGGCAGTAAGCTGAATTTCAACAAAGTAGTTGTGATTTACTAAGAAGTTTTAATTAAGTATATTAATGTTTGGTGAATTCTTTATTGTAACACACATATATTCCAGTATTTTAATGGCAATGTTAACTAGATTACACCTTTCTAGAAACAATACATACAATGTAGTACATGCATAGTAGGTGTGAATTAACAAGGAATTTTATAGAAAATTGCCTGAAACCTAAGATTAAATTAGTTATAAGAACATTGTGCCAATAAGAATGGCAGTGGGTGAATACAGTGTAATAAGGGAATTAGAGAACAAATACTAAATAAAACTTTACCATGGAAGTAGGGCCATTAGTAAATGTGGGACCACTGTGCTGAGTCCATTGTCCTGTAGGTAAAAGTCCGTGGATCTGAGCTGCATTGCTGCTATCCAGTGTAGAAAGCATAAAGATAATTTTGCCATATTAGATGCTTAAGTACTACGGGGAGGGTTTATATGGAAATTTTTGTAGTACGTGTGACTGTGTAATAATTAGTTAAAATAATGATAATAAAAATAATAATAGCTGGTAATAATTAATGTATGCTAAGTGTAACTTCTAGGCCAGTAATTACATGAAGTTATACCAATTATAAGATATTTTCAAATGGTTTGGAAAAAATGGAATCTCCTAATGCTGTTGCAGACACATTAATAATCTATATTTTACTTAAAGCAATATTCAGCGCAAAACACCAGAGGTGCTGTGTCCTGAACTTCCTTTCCTACCGTTCTTACTTCTCACAGGAGTAGAACCAAGCTGGATCAGTCAAGCGGGCAGCTCTGGTGCCTTTTAGCGAGGCAGAGCATCGTGTCACCAGTTTAACACAGGTTACCTAAGCAAGTTATACATCTCTATGTATATCCTACTTAATCACTTTTTAGCGGGTATGGACTGGCCTGCATGCTTAGCTATGATCCTGCCCCATCCATTGCAATAAGTACCAACATGCACAGCTGCTCTCTGCCGAGTCACGGGACTCGCATCACAGCATGGTCAGGCAAGATCGGCAGCCCCAACATTCCTGTGGTACAGATGCTATACTGTCCATGGTATTTCAAAAGTATTTTGCAGTGCATGCTTTGTACCTTTCCCAATCTTGATGGTACAGTTTTCTGGTTTCTATTTTTGAAGGGTTTTCTTTTGTTCTGAAGGAAGACAGAGTATGTAACACATATGCTATGTTTCTCATCAGAAGTCCATCTGTAAATCGTGTTGATAATGAAAAGCTGGTAGCTGTTTTGGAAAACATTCATACTATTGTATTTTAGCTTATAATGGAGGTA